ACCTTCTTTTTGCCCCCTATGTATTTAAAAAAGGACTTCTTGTTGTCCTTGATCCAGGAAGCTAGTCCCAGTTCCATCTCCGCCTTGGCCTTCCTGACTGCCCCCCTGCATCCCCGAGCAACTGTGATATAGTCCTCCGTGGTGATGGCCCCTCCCTTTAGCTTAGCAAGATAACAAAACATATACTTATTTATTCTATATGATTATAATTTTAAACCAATGATAACTTGATGATACTCATATTAGGAATCAGAGCTATTGATTATTTTAAGTGCAGTTTACTTCTTTGGATTACATATCAAATTTGCAGAGTACTATGATAAGATGTGTGGCATGGCAGAAAGCATAATTGTGGGGATTGCGCATCAGATCCCATCATGTCTTTACTTGCACATCTGCCAGGGATCTAGGTGTTGACAATACCAGGTCTTCTCTGCAGCTTAACTCCTTCTGATCATGAAGGCTTCCCAGTTTCCCAGGACTTAGAGTGCCCCCAATCTGGGGAATGGGTGGGGAATATTGATCCTCTGCTCGTTTTGCTCTGCTCTGCTCCACTTCTGCCTGAGGACTGCAGAGAGTGGAGCAGGTGCTGTTCCCCACACCTTTACCAGACTGAGTGCATCCTGTTTGGGGAAGGGGAAGGTGCAGGGAGAAGGGCCAACTGCAGGTTAGAATACTTATACTGCTTCCCCTCCCAGAAAGATTTCTAGGAGTGGAAATTTCATTCCCTTCTTCTTGCCCTGCTGCCTCCTTCCCCCTTTCCCCCCCTTATCAGCTAATTGTTGTTGGGATACCATATAGTTGCATTATCTCAAATTATGTTTCATTTCATTTACATAGCAATCACAAGTTAACATGATTTTTAAAGATTTTTTTTAAAAAATAATTTTGTTTCCTATTCTACAAAGGCTAGAAATAAGATTATAACATACACATTTCTTAATCAAGATTTCAATATTTACAGAGATGCATCCTGGGAACTCGAGGAGAATGCATATCAAGATCTTCTGCAATGTTACGAACACTGTGACATTAGAAGATGTCTCTGCAGAAATGGGAGAGATTATAATGAACCTGATAGGTATTAACATTAGCTTTTTCAGGTGGTATGTTAAATATTCTATGATGTAGGTGGAATACTAGGCAATATTGTTGCTGAAAGTGGTGAAGTATCTTTTAAAAGTAAACAATGAAAGCTAAGAGTCTGTTTTAAAACACATGTGAACGTGATAATGTGAAATCTTAACATTTTCTTTTAAAAGTGGATAATCAGAAAAACATAAATGTACCAGGTTATAAAAGTTGGAACTCATAAAATAAGATTCATTATCCCTCTCCTCTTTGAAAGTGAAGCATGCGGCCTGAGTGGCACTTGTCTGGGTTGTGTGTGGCCCACACAGTATATGAAAAAAGGGCAAAGGACTGGTCCGTGTTGCAACACCCCCAGCTGCTCGGAAGTTGGACAGTCCTGTTCCACAATTCTTGTTCTGAATGATCTTCCTATCTTTATCTTGCTTGTTTTCTAAACTGACTTCAAGCATCTCAAAGGACAACTTTTCTCTGTAATGACTTCTTTCTAGTCAAATTTTAGGGGCCTACATTCAGTTGTTATTCTTGACTTTTCTTCTGCTTCCAGGCTGTTTACTACCGTCTTTGTTTTTTCAGCTTCTCTGCATGCCTACATGTTCACTAATGCCCTTTTCTTAATGCACATTACATTTAGTATCTCCATTGTGAAGTTAAAAGGCACATTAGCTAATTTTAAAGTGTATTAGCAAAAGTACACTTTTTGTGACACTTTAATGCACATTAAAATAGGCTAATGCACATTAGAGCATATGTGTAGATGCACCCTTTTTGTATTATTTCAGTATCTTTTCTCATTTTTACTATGAAGTATTGTCAGGGCCAGTCCTTTGCCCTTTTTTCTCTGTTAAGAGACATTAATGTAACCTGTTTTCTTGCTGTAGCTATCTGTACTTCTACATATATTTCTTTTCTACTCCAGTTTGTCTTTATCCATCTTATCTTACATTTTTCGCTACCTTTTCTGGAATATCTTCTCTTTAGTTCAGACCTAATATGCTTAGAGTTAAGTTGCATGTGTTATGTTTCTCTCTCTCTCAACATTATTCAGGTTTCACTCGTCATATTCAAGGTTTTCCAGTGCTCAACTACTTCGTGTTTTGCATCAGCTAGTCCATCCCTCCTTTTCTGCTTTAAAAGGGCCATTTATCACTTTTGCCCACAAACATCTGTTCTTTCATCTATCTTGTCCATGAACAAGGAACATATATTTTCTGAACATATCAATTAAAGCTCCCTACTTCCTCCACTTTTACATGCATCTTGAAGACCCACTTCTGCTGTGGTGCCAATGGGAACTGACTTAATGTAGCAATTAAATTAACCTTGTTTCGTAAAACTATGGCCATGAATCACCCAGGCCATTCTACTTCTCAAGGGATTGCCTGTACCAGGGCTGTCAAACTCATGGCCTGTGGGTTGCATGCAGCCTACGGGAAGTTAATTTGCAGACACCATGGCACTGCAAAGTTGTCATTTCTGTCTCTCCCCCCTCCCC